CAGACCCAACCAAGTAAACACAGAGACTTATATTGCTTACAAACTGTATGGCCATGGCAGGCTTCTTGCTAACTGTTCTTATATCTTAAATTAATCCATTTCCATAAATCTATACCTTGCCATGCGGCTCGTGGCTTACCGGTATCTTTTCATGCTGCTTGTTGGGGTGGGGGCTGGCTGTGAGTCCTTCTGCCTTCCTGTTCTTTTATTTCTCCTCTCTGTTAGTTCCGTCTATACTTCCTGCCTAGCCACGGCCAATCAGGTTTTATTTATTGACCAATCAGAGCAACTTGACATACAGTCCATCCCCCAGCACAGCCAAGACACCTGCACTCAGGCCCGTGGTCCTAGTCATCCTCTATGCGGACCTGCTGGGTAAAGCCACAAGGAACCCGAGAACGGGCTCCCACAGGACATACAGAACATCCCACAGCAATCATGGCTGCATTTACTTTGCTTTTTGAGAATAGATTGTATGTTCCTGACATTGGCCCAAGATGCTTCTGTATCTTGCTACCACCAGTGAAAGAAGTATATAGAAGGACATGGAAGTTTCCAAGTCTGGAAGTGAGCATGGCCATTGGGAAAATGACCCAGGGGCCCTGGGGCTGAACATATGAGAATAAAACCACCATGAGAGGTCAATCACTCGCTGTAATAAGAAGTGAATTTTCTGGGCCTGGGAGACGGCTCAGTCAGTAACTTGTTGCTATGCAAGCATGGGGACCTGAGTTCAGATCCCCAGCATCCATGTAAAAAAGCCCTGCATGGTTGTACACATCTATCACCCTAGCATAAAAGGGTGGAGACTAGTCGGAAGGTTTGACAATTGATGAGCTCCTGGTTCAGTGGGAGACCTTGTCTTAAAAAATAAGGTGGAGGGGAGGGGATAGATATGATCACATTACATTGTATGATATTCTCAAAGAATTAAACGCTATAAAATAAGGTGGAAAATGATTAAAAAAAAAGATAGCTATCCACTACACACATGACCACAGTCATTCACAAATGAGCACACACACACACACACACACACACACACACACACACACACACAGACACTACACATACAGATGATTTTTTTAAGTGATCTTTTGCTGTTGTGTTAAATATTTAAATAATGACCTGGGGGTTCAGAGTAGACCTTGAAATTTTTCTGGCAGCTTTCATTTCAGCAGAAAGGTGAGAAAGGTTGTGTCTTTGTTCTGAGAACTCCACCCTGTTCTGCGGCACTTGAAGTTACCTTGGAACCAGTATTGTTGGTTGAGAGGCACTCCTAAGATCCTCGATCTGCTTTGCCTAGGGTGTGTAATTATACAACTGTGACATGCCCCAAGGGGGGCATGAAATTGAAGAAAAAAGAGCCCCATATATGAGTACCCAGTGAGGCCTGAACAGGGCAGGGGTCCCCTGGAGTTACAGATGGTTGTCAGCTGTCTGACATGTGTGCTGGGAATTGAACCCTGGCCCTCTGTTAGAGCGGTGAGCATCTCAAACCCCAGGCATATGTCCAGCCCTCTCTTTTCTTTCACTTTGTGTCAGTCTTGCTAGAGATGTATCTTTTAAAAAAAAAAAAAAAAACTCTTTTTGTTTCATTGGTTTTCCTGTTTTCTGTTTTCCTGATCTCTGCTCCTGTTTTGGTTTCTTTACTATGCTTCCTTCGGGGGTGCTTTTGCCCACTGTTTCCTGGTTTCCTATGGGGAGAAACCCTGATCACCGGCTTCAAGTGTTCCTCCTTTCTAATCTTGGCCTTCCCTGCTATGAGCACTCCCTTTGGCACTGTGGTCACTGCCCCACAGTTTTGTGCAGTTTTCGTTTCTTTTGAAATTCCTTTTTTGGCCCCATGAATGATTCAGGGTTGTGCTCTGTGATGTCTAAGTGTTTGGAAGTTTTCCTGTTATTTCTGCCTGCTGAATTTTAACAACAATCTAGGGCATTGTATGGCATGTGGTCCATGTATTCAATCGCGACGTCACAATGCAGAGCCTAAGATATATGTGTTTGATGAATAAAAATAAATGAATGATTGGCACGTTAACTTAAAAATCAATGAAGAGAGAGCCGCAGGCTGAAGAGGTAAGGAAGATGGCAGGATGCTGACGGTGACTGTCCTGGGTAAGGAAATACAACTGCTTCGCGCTTTCTTCCTTCTGGGCTCTACACTCCCTGTCCTAGCAGACATAGCTTTCACAGCCAGGCTAATGGCTGCTTTCACCCTCTCCTGGCAGGCTGATCAGAATTTGAATCGCTGAGAGAGCTAACAGGGAGGCCATACAACGACCCCAAGGAGATCCTAGAGCTAAACTACTCCACATTCTTGCTCAGGTAAGGAGCCTGCTAGCCTCCCAAATTATTGCCATGTGCAGTTCTTGCCATGGTTGCTGCCCCACAGAGGTCATGCATGTCCATCTAATTGGCAGGCCATCTCATCTCCCTGTTCTCACTGTGACTCTCAGGATGTCTACAAAGTCCCTAGACATCCTGAGAGTTAGTGTTCACTCAGGATATCTTTTTAAGTCTTTGCAGTCAACCAGCCACAAAGCCACATGTGAAATTTGGTGGCCATTGTAGAGATTCTGGGAGGCAATCAAGTCCTTCAGAAGGGCTTGTGCCATTCTGCTAGTCAGGGGCAGGCTGACCGTACTGAGGGGGGCCAGTTAACTAGCTGGTTCTAAAAGTGCATTCCACTGCCTTGCTTTCTCCCTTTCTGCCATATGATCTCCTCTGTCCCTCTACCTCCCCAGGATCCAGGCAGAAAATGGATCAAGATAGCTGGGTAATGTGAACAGGAGAAAAAACATCCATCACATAAAAATCACTGAGATCTGACAGTTCATACCCACTACTGTAACATTACCTCAGGGGTACATGTACAGATACACACACACACACACACACACACACACACACACACACACACACACACACACACGCAACATGTTTTGCAAAGAAGGGACCCAGGACCATGGAGGGAATCTCATGATAAATACAATCTCTGTCCCCAAAATCTTACCAGCTGAGTTGGCAGATGAATTTCTAAGCATTGTATAATAATGATCACAACACACGATGATTGTGCTAGTCAGCCTGTCATTATTGTAGCAAAATAACTAATATAATCAGCTGATAATGAGAACAGGCTTATTCCGGCTCACAGCTTTGTAGTTTCTAGTCTATGTTGACCCCATTGTTTTGGGAGCCTATGATGAGGCAGCATATTACGTCAGGGCTCGTGGCAGACTAAACCTGCTCAGCTGATGGAATCAAAGGAGAGGGAGGGAAGAGAAGAGAAAGGCCCCATGCTCCACCTCTAGAGCACAGCCTACAGTTCTGCCACTTGGCCCCACCCCCCAGCAGCTAGTGTCAAGAAAAAGGAATAAGGAAACTAGACAGGATGGATGGAAGTTCAGCTCAGATGCCACCAAGCTTCTCACAAGCTCTCCTGACCCAATCTTTAAAAGAAAATTATACAATGTGTGTGCGCATGCTTTTGTGTGTGTGTGTGTGTGTGTGTATGTGTGTGTGTGTGTGTGTACGCCCACATGCTACATCAGATACATGGAAATCTAAGGACAACTTGCCAGAGCCAGTTCTACCACGTGGGACACAGGGATCAAACTCAGGTCTTCAGTACTGGCAGCAGACACCTTTACCCACTGGCCCATCCTACCAGCCCCATCCAGTCTTGACCCTTTTAATTGGCTCTCTACCCTGTGAAACTGCCCTCTGTACACCACAATGTGGGCTCCATCCTCTCCTTGTAGACCACATTAGAGGCTCCTTCCTCTTCCTGAATACCATATCAAAGACTCCTTCTCCCTGTGGACCACACACAGGTTCCTGGTTAGTCTGGCCAGTGGAGGTCTGGGCAGATGGCACAGGGCAGAAGGGGGAGAATGGGTTATTCTTCCTCTGTCTCGTTTCTCCAGTTGTCTCAGATTGACTGCACTCACCACTCCCACTGAAGGTCGCAGCTTCTCTCAAGATCACCTCTCCTCATAACACTTTCCTTCCAGATTCAGGTAATTCTCTCCCCCCTTGTCCCACAAGGCCCATAATGAGTTACCAGCTCTAGACACTCCTAACACCTTAGGAGTCCCCATACCATATCTGAGCACTTGTAAATGGTTCTTATAATAGTACATTCTATAGGGTACTCATTTGAGTGGCCTTCTGTTTCCCTTCTCACACACACACACTCGCACACACTCCCGTGCACACACACACTAAATGTAATAATTTTCCTTTTAAAGACAGTGTGGGAAGGGCTGAGATGAGCCTGGCAGCCTCCCATCCATCTATACCCTGCCTGATTCACTTTTCTCGACTTTGCTTTGCTGTGTAATTAAATGTGCATCTGGTAATGGGGGAGGAGATGTGAAGAAGGGTTGATTCTTACGCAAGAAATGAGCGCTTACAGGGTTGAGTGTCTCCCCACGTGAATTGAAAGGTTCTTCTCTTAAAATACAAAAGCACAGGGAACAGGTGGTGGCTTTTCCACCCAGGACGAGTAAGGGACCATCATTAGGGCCTGGGTCTAACACAGCTCTTGATAAATCCTGGAGACACAAACCAGTCAGGATTTCAGGTCATCCTCAAGCTGAGAAGTTCCCCTGATGCTTCCTTCTCTGCCATAGTTGACAACAGGATTCCAACTGCTTGTGCTCAACTTGAACTTGAGGACTAATTTCTATGGCTCAGGGACAATCTGGCCTTTCCTTTGCAATTCCACGCAGAGATCAAAGGTGCTTGGAAAAGGAGTCAGCACCTAGATGCCACCTGGCAGTCCCCTTGGGGAGTCCTGTAGAATATTCACCGCAATTCTCCATCGATTGGCTCGTTTTCAAAGTGGACAGTGGAGATGCCAGGAGCTGGGCTTGGGAGAGTTCCAGGCCAGTGCTCACTTTCCACCCTGAGCCCACTCCTTAGTTCCACCTACTCTGGGAAGGTGCCCCAGGAGGAGGTGGACCCAGGAGACCTAGAGTTCCCAGAAGCATCTGGAGGTGCAGACAATGGGGTGCATACTGGGTCTGGATCCCAGGGAGGTTGGGTTTGGGCATGCCAAGAAGCAGAGTTAGAGGAAGCTCAGGTGTTAATTTGGAAGATTTAGGAGTTCCTGGGCTGTCATCGGATTTTACTGCCACTGGTGACATGCTAAGTTCTCTCCAGAGTAGGAAAGACAGGAAAAAGGAAGGCCAGGTATGCCCAAGTGCCAGCCCTGTGCATCTGGAGGATGAGACAAGGCACGGAGGAGGGGCCCAGATGCTTTAGAAGGCTGAGGATACATGCTGGGGCCTGGGCTAGTACTCACCAGGCAGAAGAGGAGGGTTGATAAACTCCCTGCAGTGGAACTTGCCTTGACAATAGCTCTCATGAAAATGAAAACAAGAAAATGAACATTGTTTCTATCCATTCCCCACATAGCAGAGAGGTGTCTCATAAGAAAAAACAGGTTGGTGATGAGTGGCAGAGGAGAAACATAAGAAGGCAAGAAGAGGCAGAATGGGACAGGCCTTAAAGCCTTGCCCCATTGGTCAGCTACTGGATACAAGTTCTGCAACTCCTAAGACCCAGCTGGAGCTTCTCAGTGTACTTGCTAGCATACACGCCTGTTCCAGGTCTTATGGAACAGTACGTAATGACTCCCTAAGCCTGGCCTGAGACTCTGCATTTAGAAGAGGCCACCCCTGGTCAGGGTTGATATTGCAGACCCGTGGGACACACTTGGATAAGTAGCAAGACATCAGAGGATACCAGCTCCGTTTGGGCCTACTTCTGTATACCTCCAACTTAACACAAAACCACAGCAGAAGTGAGTGATCTAATTCAGTGTCTTGGTGATAATGACCCATGCCTTGACATTGTGCCCATGTGGCCGCTTAGGGAGCATCATCTCCACCTCTTACCTCAGCCCTCCCCAGTAAAAGTAAGCATCAATCACCCTACATAAGATGGCCTGACCAGACACCCCTACAGCACAGGCCAGCCTAATCTCTCACCTTGGGGAAGGTCAAGCTTGACTTGGCTTTGTCTTGTTAAGAAAAGGCAGTGTCTCCTCTTTCTTGGGACTCCCTGTCTATACACTCACATTCACATATGCACACGTGTACATGCACATTTCTGAGAGTCTCAGTTTTCTGGGCATGTCTGATAGTCTCTGCTTGGGACCTGCCATGTTCCTTTTACATAATTCTAAAGGTGACCCTATTTCCCTGAACCCAGGCTCCAAAGGAGTCCCCTCTAGGGTTCAGGATTCCTGTCAATGGCTCTGTGGGACCACTTCCCTTGACACCTGAAACACACAGAAATGTTTGAGATGGTCCTAGCATAGATGATGGTTGAGAATATACTCCACCAGGAGGTTGGGTAGTCTGCATCGCTCAATGCAAGGGCCAAGGCTGCCTGTTTGATGAGCGGGAAGTGCCCTATGTAGCTTACTCACCCACACCAGGCTTGACCTTGGCTTGCTACTCCTGCACAACTCAGCTGCCCAATGTATGCTGGGACTTGCAGGTGGCCAGCATTCCTTTTCCATGTTCACGCTGCCATATTCCCTCCATTCTTAATCACATCAAATGGGGCAGCTTCTGCTGGGCTGTGCTTAGGTCCAAGAGCCTGTGCTGTGCTCCAGAGTGAGGCCCCCTGAGGAGCTAGCATGCACATCACCCAAGCTGAGGAGTCATGCTCAACCGAGGACACTCTGTGAGAAGGAGTGCTAGAGAGAGGAATTGCAGAGTGGAGAGCACAGAGGGCTTCCTGGAGTAGGTGAGACTTCCGAGCCCTTTAAGGGTTGGCTTATTATGGGCTGGTTCAAAGTTCAAAGTACCTCAGAGCAAGCTTATTCAGAAGCAAGGTCATAATAAGATCATAACAGACATAATTAGGTGAGACAAGGTCATACTGAAGTAGTAATGACTCCAACTCAATAGGATTGGGCCCCTAAAGGGGAACTTGGACAGGTACACACACGGGAAGAGAGCATCCCATGAGGGTGAGGCAGAGCTGGGCAATGCTTCTGCAAACTAAGAAATGCCAGATGCTGGGGATGGGCAAGGGACCTAGACTCTCTTACCAACAGAAGACTGAAAAGAAGGAGTCCTATTGACCTTGATCTTGCACTTCAAACCCCCAAACCAAGCTAACAAATGCCTGTTGCTTAAATACCTAGACTGTAACACTGTCCCAGAAGCCCTAGCAAATGACACAGCTTAGACACACAGCAGGGGACTGATGTGGCACCTAGAAGGAAATCTTGCTGCTGGCTGGGGCATCAACATTCCCCACCCCCACCATAGTCAGCAAGTATGAGGACCTGAGTTCGGTCC